TCAACAAGTAAATGAAATTTATGAAAAATGCATATTATTTTGACTAATGTATTGTTATTGTTTACGTGATTTCAGCCAGGCCAGTCGAGTGAGCAAGTGCTAACTGAAGGATGACGAGATTATGTACATCACCAGTCAAGGCCACCGGACAGTGTGCTATGAAATCATTTTGGTGTACTTTTTTGTTGACAATTATGTGTAAATCACCAATGAAGGCCATATTTATGTGTATTTTGTTATGGCAATTACATTTGGTGTTTCGGTGTTTTGTTTATCACATTTAAACTTGGTGATATGATGTATGTTCTTGCTCTTGGTTTTTGGTGTATGGTGATGAACTTGTCTTATATTGTATTTATGTACAAGCACAATTGGGTATATATGGTCATGGACATGTGTTTGGCTTGTGTTGATTTTATGTTAATATGTTTAAACCTATTCTCTGTGATAGTGGAAGGTGTTCCCATTAAGTGTATATATATACTCTGTATATAGACTTTACTGGAATAGACTTTACTTGACTACTTGAGTCCGTAGGGGGCTGGTTCACTTCTCAGACTTTACTGGGAACAAGTAAAGTCAATAGACTTCTTTCCAGGTGTTCCCTCCAAGTCTATGTCTATAATAATACACTGAGTTAAATACACAATCTCTTTGGAGGGGCTGACAATAACTGAGTGTTATGAATAAATTTTGATGTGTAAACCCTAAAACATGCATTTTATCCTATCTAATATGCCCACATTGAGTAGTCTATAGTCTCTACCCTTTTAATTAGAAGGCCCAAATGCAACTTGTGGTAGTGGTAGTACAAAAGGTCAGTTTGGTACTCGAAGTTGCAAAAAAGGTGTCAAATAAGTCCTTATATAGAAGATTCTGTCCGGACGTGCCATTTGAGGTGGCTCCCGGTAGAATTTTTTGATGAAATTTTTTGAGCATCTTATTCCTTAAGTCTAGTTTACTCATACCAAATTTCAGCTAAAAATTCAATCGGGGAGACATTCAAATGAATTCTTGAAGATAACTGCGCTTTTAACGGCACAGCTATCTTCAAGAATTCATTTGAATGTCTTCCCGATTGAATTTTTATCTGAAATTTGATATGAGTAAACTAGACTTAATGAATAAGATGCTCAAAAAATTTCATCAAAAAATTTCACTGGGAGCCACCTCAAATGGCACGTCCGGACAGAATTTTCTATATAAGAACTTATTTGACCCCTTTTTTGCAACTTCGAGGACCAAACTGACCCTTATCCCATTAATTAAACGTGATGGGCAGACCGACAGGGCAGGATTGGAGAATATGATGGTCTAGATTGAAGATGAACTATGAATGTAGTTGATCTATTTTTTCCTGCACTGAGGCTTTATTAAGCCATTGATGAACACTAAAATCACAATAGTCATAAACAAAAGTGATAATAATTTGAAGTCTCTAATGACTCCCAAAAAACTCAAAGCTACTGGTTTAAGTTGCCAAACTAAGGTAAACACAGTAAAAAATTCAAATCCAAATTACATGTTTAATTTGAACAAGTCGGAAGACATTACATGCTCCAAATCATGTGCAAAATACACACACCGTACACATCCTCACTACACTATCTCAAATTGAGATACACCCAAATAACCAAAACAAATAGCACTAGCTAACACAAACATCTTCCTCATTTTTTTTCTTTCCTTCACTTCATTTTCAACTATATGTCTCACACAATTCACTTCTCTTTGAAGAGATCCTATTTTTTGACCAAGTCCAGCAATCATTGTCTTCACTTCATCCCGGTTTCCTTGCATTTTACCTCCTCCAACTTTTTTATTTGAATCCATATCATCCATCCAAATAAAAAACCCACATCCATCAACCTGTAAATACTATTACAAATCAGAAATCAGTTCACTTCAATCCATATAAGAATTACAAATAAGAAATCAGTTCACTTCAATCGATATAAGTGACCATTTGGGGAACATGACATATTCAAAGTTTATATTCATGGAATTCAAGTTTTTGTTAATTCAATTTTTCATTAAATTTTTTGTACGTATGCTACATATATGATATATAACTCAATGTAAATACACTTAAAAAAAAGTCAATTTACTTCACAAGCTAGGCTTATCCCCTCTTAATTATCTATCATTTATCTTTGCCCTAGGTATAGTAAATTAACTTACCCAAAATGAATTTGCTTACCTTCCATTGTTGATAACTGTAAAAGCACGTAAAAATCACAACTTCTTTTATTTCGCTTTTTCTTACCGGCCAATGTTGACAACCGTAAAACTTTCTTCCACTCTCTACTGATGCAAAGATGAGCTTTGATACCACATCCACAGTAAACGGGGGGCTCATAGTCAAGAGTTGTAGCCCCTGAATATTTCCTAGTCGTTGATGCGGATGAACCAGACATTGGGTGGAACGATTGGAGAAGATGGGGAGAAATTTAGGTTCAGCGATGGAAAAAAAAGATGGAAGACACGTTGGTATTAGCCAAAACATTTAAAGGGGTAACCTGGACTCCTACGCCAAATCACTGTCCACTCAAGCATTGTAACCGGATGACCGATCTGTCACAGGTTATTTAATTGACTTTTTCGGTATACGCCTAATTGACAATTTTCCCTTAAAAAAAAGATATATTAGGGATGAATATATGTGTGTATCTAAACTTAAAACAAAGAATGTTATATTTGGGGGGAAGTAAATACTTTTTTTTGGTCGAAGAGGACTTAATTCATAGAAATAGCATTCAACAAGGGTACATATAACCATCCGCCCGTGGTTGAGACTGAGATTTAATCACCTGTAAAAAAGTAGTATAACTCGCTAGACCAAAATTGGGCAACTTAAAGCCAATGACGGTTACCGCAGACTTTCCATCCCCCAAACCTAATGCAAGAGTCTTACAAGGATTGAAAACACAAAAGGAAAAAAGAACATAGCATCCGAAATAAAAGTAAACAAAACAGACAATAAAAATAACATCATCACTTGTTTTCTTCACCAACACCATCATATGAAAACACGGCGGGTCTAAGAGACTTGACCCGTCACCTCCCCATTTTTTGGCCCATCCAGAGTCATTCCTACACCAGCGATGTCCTCTTTGGTCTGATTATCCCATATCCTTCTGCGCTTTGTATCTCCAGGAGTCTCATCTCTGTCCTCTTTCTCATGCTGTGATGGCCTGCTAGTCTTGGACTCAGCCAAAAACTCTCCCCCGAGATCAGCCTTCCGCTGAACTTCGTATCCATCTGAGCTAGAAGCTCCATCACATAACCATCTGTTGTCTCCTGTCGGGCTAGTCTTCGCCCTTCCTCCTGCTCTAAGTCTCACCCCATATATTTTTTCAGCTACAAAGCCTTCTTCATACTTCAATGGACAGAATTTATCAGAATGTCCGATTGCACCACAGATAAAACAAAAGCTAGCTAGGAAGTACATACATATTTAGGGGGTGTCCTCAAAATGGATTTTAATGGAGTTTTAAAGATTGTGGATTTGGTGGAATTTAATGGAGTGTTATGGGTTCCATGAGAATTTTACAGATTCTATGTAGAATTCATTGGATTTCACTTTGATAGATTTTAGCACTTGGAGAGTTGTATTTTTTGACATAGCAGGTTGTCTATGTGTTTCATCTCATCTATATCCGGTTCATCTCATGAAGCTAATGGAATTGAACAACCAGTAAGGGCATGGAAGAAGAACATGTGGGTTGCACTCAGCGGTGTCGGGCAGCTTCACGCCACTAGGGATCTGCAGCGTCGGGGTTGCAAGGGTTGCTCTCTGGGATCTGCAGCACAGCAACCGTCTACTTGCGCTCGAGGGGGAGCCGAGGAGCTACTTTGAACATGTGACCCATCCCGGCGGCACAATTGGGAGGGGAGCTGGATAGTTCTCTTTTATGTTTGATTTTTTATTTCAAATCCTTTGAAATCCGATGTGTGTTGAGAAGATTTCGAATTGATTTGTTTTGTATTTACAATTCCATCAAAATCATTTAAAATCCATCCAAATAAAAAACAATTGAAGTCTATGGAATGTTTGAGGACACCCGTATTTTCACGGATTCCACCGAAATCCAAATCGGGGACACCCGAATTCTGAAGGATTTCTAAACTCCATTAAAATCCTCCGAAATCCATTTTCAGGACACCCCTTTAAACTTTTTTAATATTTTGGACTTAGAAATACGGAAATACCTTTGGACCAGAAGGCCTTTGTTGTCGTACCCGGAGCCTTGGGTTCGTGACTAGGGGTGGTTCGGTATGGTATACCGAATATTTTAGCTCATACCTTTACCATACCGTAAATTTTCGATATGCAAAAATACATACCGTTACCATACCGAAATTTCGATATACCTTGTTTCGGTATACCGAAATTTCGGTATGGTAAGGTACGGTATCGGTAAATTATCATGATTTAACATAACAAATTATTATATGTCAAATAAAATATAGAAAATATGTGTTAATAATGATATACTAAAATCATTAATGAAATTAATTGTAAATTACCAATGACCACCTATTGGTGTTCTATTCAACTTTGAACAAAAATTATTATAAATATATTTAGATATTTCGACACATAATATATGAAGATAACATCACATTCTGATAAAAAAAATTAAACAACATAAATATAATTAAAAAAACACCGCTTGCCAACAAAAAATATAAATAATTCAAGAAACATGGATATAAAGTCATTTATCCTTGAATTAATGTTGTGTTTCTAGTTATTTTTATAATTTTAAAGAAATTATTGGCTTGAAATTACGGTATGACGGTATACCGGTATACCATTTATTTTCAAAATATTTACCGATACCATACCGAAGTAATTCGGTACGGTATCATACCGTACCGAAAGTGTCGGTATACTAACCATTTCGGTAAATTCAGTATTTTTCGATACAGTAAGTGCGGTATACCGAAATTTCTGTATTTCCCCCACCCCTATTCGTGACCAAATTCAAATTGCACATCCGGCACCGCGCTTTCGAGGGACTCGGTTCTTCCTTCGCGCGAATCTAAGTCTCCGAGATGAGTGCTCCTATGGAAGTTTCAATGGGGAATGCCCTCGATGGAGACGGCTCCCAGCACAACAAAGTGCTTCAGGAGCCACCTCCATCACCAAAATCTCATCTGGCCCCCATCGCCCAGGAAGAGAAGATCCATGTATCAGGTTCTCCATTATCACTTCATTCGTCAATTTAATCGCACTTATATTCTTTACGCCGTTTGTCTTTTCTAGAATATATAGCTTTATACTCGACTTTCAAGTAGACTATTTTGCCTTTTATGCGGAACTACCCACATTGAAAGCACACAATGCTTTGCGCTTGCATAACTGCGCTTTCAGGATGTAAAATGAGATTTCAGGACTAAGATTTCCAAAGTTGTTCTTGCAGTTGAGGTTTGCTTGAAGCCCTCTTGTACAGCCCGAGTAGGTGATATCCGCTTAGCCGTCGAAAGGTATCTCCACGTTCTATAAAAGAATGCTAAGGATTTGGTTATGATGCTTTTTCTTAGTGGAAGGACTTCCACTGGAGTTGACAACTCTGTTATTTATCTAGGAAGTGTTTTATTGTTAAGAAAGGGTTAACCTGACATAGGCGTCATCAGTAAAGTTCGGGCTCTCAACAGCAATATGTAAAAGTCCCTTTCCAGTCATTGCATTTGTGAGGCAAAGACTAGGTCAAGGGCTCAATAGTGAGTAGGAAGAGTACTCAGGATTACTTGGTGATTACTTGACCTGTATTAATCAAATTTAAAATAATTGATTCCCTAAATTCTAGTATTATATTAGTCTTATAATTTTTTAATATGAATAAAATAAATAATAATCCTATTAATGAAATAGTAAAAATCATAAACATTCCAAGTTTCCAAGAAAATCAATCATCTAATGCTTTGGTCCCAAATTAATATTCGTTTAGGTTCAAATTCGTCATTTTCTTCTTCATCCTCCATATTCCCAAATAGATATCCTCCAAAAAGATCTTTACTAGCCAGATTCCTGACAAGTTCATCCTCTTCCGCGTCATCTAAATAAGTATCAAGCAGTCCATACTAGAGTGTGATGCATTCACATTCTCCCTTCTGTTTTGACTCCTTGTATTTGTTCGTACAGCGGTGGCTTGTTTTGTTTCCAATTTAAAACACTCGCTCATTATTCATAAATTCCATAGTATCCTACTTTATTTTAAATTTTCAGATTTAACGAAAAACATTTAATAGTTTCCAAGTAACTCACCGAGTCAAAACTGTCACCGAGTTAAGAAACTCGCTGAGTAACTCGGAAAAACAGAACAGGACGAGTTAGAGTGCTAACCAGAACGGCCATCCCCCGAGTTGTGAGTACTCGGCGAGTACTCACCGAGTAGATAACACTAGAGGCAAGACAACTTTATATGAAACTTATTTTACCAGTCAAAAATACTAAACAATCAAAGACATATTATCAGTCACACATAGAATATGAGTTTTAATTTTGAAAATGAGCCTTTATTCAATGTCACAGAAAATGAGATTTAATTAAGCGTTGAAAAGTATTTTAAGAGTTTTATCCTAAATAAAATCATAAAAAGTAGTTTTAATGAGAAAAAAGAGAAGAAATGGTGGGAATGTTGGATATATTAACACTGTGGATCAATTTGGATAAAAAGAAAACTATTAAGAGTCAAGACTAAAGTTGCTCTATATTCGTAATTGTGCAATGCCTTTACATCTTGAGGCCCGCCTCAGCGATGTTTGAGGCAAATATGCGTTAAGGTGAATCCCAAATTATGCAATGTTGAGACTTAAGCCTTTTGGGTTGAGGTGTACTCAGTGAAGCAGGATTGAGCCATATACAATTGCATTTTCAGGGTTTAATTAAATAAGTTTGTGCCTACAACTTCTCTTATACAATTAAGAGAAGTTGTGCTAAGTTTGTATCACTCTGCCAGTCCTCTACAACTTCTCTTATACAAATCTTCATTCTCTTTTCTGTAGTTTTATGCCTTTTTTTTATTTTCCTGTTAATGATATGTTATATTTTGCTTGATGTTAGTATGATATGCACATCAACAAGATGGGATTATTATGCGAATTATCTTGCCTTCTGCAAGGTGTTATTTTCCTGCTATATTTTCTTTTCTTTGGTTAAAAATGGATGTGCATGTTGAGGGTGATCGCAACGGTGGTGTTAAAGTTATTGTGACGAAGATGATTGTGATGTCGGATTTGATGTTGGGGGTTTGATCCTTATTTCAAACAAATAAACATTGATGATCTAGTTTTTCATTTCCCAGTCTAATAAACTTTAGACTTCAATGGAGTTAGGCAACACTGGCTATTATGTGATGTTTGAATTTACTATTTTAATTGGGTTATGAACCTATTATTGTTCATTTTGATTACAAATGTGTTGAACTTTAATGATTATTTCATTATATTATGTAAATATGTAAATTGATTATTAATATTATCAGTAGCATTCTTATATAAAGCTATACAAATTTGAGGGTTATGGCTCATTGTGCAATACATGATCTCTTGAAACCGTCCCAACTATGCTATACACAATTTCGAACATCGAGTTGCACTTTTACTTCTGTTATAATTTGAATTAAAATTAGACCTCTCTGGAAAGAAGAGGAGGAGAATAGTGGTAGTAGCTCGATAGCTATGCAAGAAATTCATACAGGGGTTTATAGTAGTTTGTTAGTTATGTTAAACAAGTGAACTTTATAAGTTAAGCGTTTGAAGGAAATTGTTGATTTTGGAAAACAGAAATTATGGCTTAGTGACTAATGTACAGAAAGACTTATACTAACTTAATTTAAAAATATTAAGCCAAGCCGATTTTAATCTTTCAACTAAAAAACGAGGCTTAAGCCTCCCATAGTGACAAAATGCCTCAGTTCATTCTGAGGCTTAAGCCTCAATGTTTTTCTTCCACCACCTCACATAGTCACAAAGAGATGCACCTCAAAAAAGTCATTTTTTACCTTGGTTAACAACAAATGTGCTATTTTATACTTCCTATAATCCTATATATCTATGCTCATCTATTTCCATTTTTCCTTTTTATTTGTCGATATGTAAAATTTGATGAATATTAACTTTCCTCAACATGCCTTTTTTATACTTTCCGGTTTACCCTATTTCCTACACATAACTTAAATGAGGTGTTGGCTTTTAATGAGGATACTTCAGGTAAAGTATCGAATGTTTTTATTAAGTTATCATCTAATGCATTTTCTTAAATTGTATGATGTCGTTAATGTAGACATATATATTGAAGCGAAAAGAGTGAACCCATAGGATTTGTTGTGGCACTCAGAACTGAACTTTGTGGTTTGTTTTGATATGTGTTTCTGACAAACTGAGGCATTGAGCTTTTGTTTGCATCATTTTTTTTGCATGCAGCATGATGGAAAAGAGGAGTATGAGCTATGTTGATGGTCCTATTCCAGTGCCACTGGATGATCCCTTCCTTGCAGAAAACGTGCAGCGGATATGTGTGTGTGACACAGGTGTTTTCATACAGAGTTCAACCTCTGGAATAAAAGAAGACAGTGTATAGATGGTTGCCTAAGTGCCTAACTAATATACCGTTTTCCCACCTATTTGCTGGTTTTGTAGATACGTGGTTGGAGCATGGTGATTTCCTTTTGTTCTGGCAAGTTAGACCTGTTGTGCATGTATTTCAGGTGTTTTCCTTGCATTCCCATTTCTCAATGTTTCATTAAGTGCACCAAAGAGCTTAAAACTATCTGTTGATTTAACATGTCCAGCTGCTTCATGATATCATATATTGCACGCAAGCTTTAAGATTCATAGATAAGTATTTATAAAATGGTGAAAGATAAAGGAGTAATATGGTTGAATACTTGAAAGATACTATCCCAAACTAACATAGTGAAAGGGATAGTGTCATTGGAACTTCACTGTTTTAAGTGTTTTTACATAATGAGGTATTGCCTTTTTGTTTGTCAGCTTAGTGAGGAAGGACCATGTGAAGAAATGAGCGGGGATGGGCAGCTTTCTACGTTTAATGAATGGATTCTTCCAGCAAAAGAATTTGAAGGAATGTGGGAAAGGTTTGAGTCACCTTTGAACACTGATAAACAAAATGAGAAAGTCTGGAAGTGTATATAATATGTTTATTCTACAGCTTAGTTTATGAAACTGGTCTCAAGCAGAAGTTGTTGCGATATGCGGCAAGTGCTTTGCTTTTCACGGAGAAGGGCGTTGATCCTTTCCTTATATCTTGGAACAGGTATACTTTTGTATTCTTATTTTTAGACTTGAGGATGTTCGTGCTTATTTTTTACAAGTTAGTAATTTGAAAAAAGTCATATTTCACCAGGCCACAACTTTTTTTATTTTGGGAAAATGGAAACTAATAATTCAACCTTTTAGCAGTCTTCTTTTAATAGTCCAACCTTTTCGTTATTCATGAATAATCCAACCTTTGCACCTCATCTTCATTCACTGGTTCCTGACTGGTTGATGACCTGCTATTCCAAGTTATTTTCTTATCTTTGCAAAATATTATCTTTGTGAAAGGTGGAATTTATGGTATAATAGTTTGCAGAGATAAGAAAATAACTCGGAATAGCAGGTCATCAACCAGTCGGGGACCAATGAATGAAGATGAGGTGCAAAGGTTGGATTATTCATGAATAACGAAAAGGTCGGACTATTAAAAGAAGACCGCTAAAAGGTTGGATTATTAATTTCCATTTTCCCTTTTATTTTTAGCAAAGTGACTATTGGAGACAATCATTTGGTTATGCGTCTGATCGGTAGAGAAAGAAACTAGATATAAAAACTAGGTGATTGAAAAAATATCTCAGCTCCCTGCACTCGCCGAGGGTGTGTGCCAATTCCACCGAAGCACGAAAAGAACTTCTATATATATAGTTCCAAGAGTTTTGGTGGACTAGTATTAGAGTAACCCTTAACTTATTGTAGTACGGACTACAGCTATTCCAGGTTCGAAATTGCGTATTGTGTGGCCTCATTGCACAATGAGGCATATGATTGAGGCGTAAAATACGAAGTATATATTTATATGTATTTATGTACGTACGTACGTACATACATATACATATAAACTCGGTAAAAAATAAAACATCTTTTTATTCAAAAGTCATCAAATATCATACTTTCTCCATCTCAAATTGATTTGACAAGTGAAAATTTTTGGTCAAACAATGTTAAGTTAAATCCTCTCTATTGATAATTAATACGAAGTACAATTTTAACAATTAAAATTTACATATTCTAATTAAGTGAATAAAATGAAACTACATTAAAATCTCTATAAAGTTGCAAAATCCAAATTAGAATACAATTAAAAATTGATATCCTAATTAAGTGAATAAAATGAAACTGTTTTGCAAAAAAATGACTTTGCAAATCATTTTGGGACAGAGGGAGTATTAAAATAAATTATAATGAAGCCAATGAAGCCACAATTTTAGCAAAGTAATATGTTCAAAGTTCAAACCACAAAATAGCAAAAAGTTTTGAACCATTCATAAAAACAAAATTCCTAACATATTAAAATTTTAAGTTTGTTAGATTGATGATTGAAAAATCGAATCATCATTATCTAGTAGACTAGTGGTTTGAGATATGGATCATTACCGTAGAACATATTAATTATAAAAATTAAAAAGTAGGTCAAGTGGGCCCAAATATGCAGCACTGCGTATGCCTTAGTGCTATATCACGTACGTAGTATGCACATTCCCAACGCCATAAGCAATGCCTTTTATGCCTTAATCCAGGAATTAGCTGATGTACGCCATGAGGTGCAATTGCATCGCGCATTTACAAACAATGCAGCTATTTAAAACATGAGAAAAGAGGCAAATAAGTCTACGTACTAACCATAAAAGGTCAAATAAGCCTTTATTTAGGAGGCTCTGTCCGGCCGTCGCCATTTGGGGCAGTTCCCGGTGGAATTTTTCGATGAAATTTTTTGAGCATCTTTTTCATTAAGTCTAGTTTACTCATACCAAATTTCAGCTAACAATTCAATCGAGAAGGCATTCAAATGAATTCTTGAAGATAACTGCGCAATTATCTTCAAGAATTCATTTGAATGCCTTCTCGATTGAATTGTTAGCTGAAATTTGGTATGAGTAAACTAGACTTAATGAATAAGATGCTCAAAAAATTTCATCAAAAAATTCCACCGGAAACTGCCCCAAATGGCGACGGCCGGACAGAGCCTCCTAAATAAGGGCTTATTTGACCTTTTTGGTTAGTACGTGGGCTTATTTGCCCCTTTTCCCTTAAAACATTAACTAAATAACTACAATAAAATGCCTATACTGATAGGAAAGTACTACCAATAATAATAGGAAAACTAGTGCAAATAAGGTAAACTAATAGTAGTAGTAGTACAATAACAACTTAACACAATCAAACTTATATCTTTTTTCCGGTTCAAGTAAACTTAACACAATTACCTGGTGTTTTGTCCTAATTCCTCAATATGCAAGCACAAATTTAGTGTTTCTCATTTGAAATGGCATGCAGAATTGTTCTTCTTCATGGACCTCCAGGAACAGGAAAGACATCTTTGTGTAAAGCATTGGCACACAAACTTTCCATTCGATTTAACTCAAGGTCAGTGCATGGTTATTGATTTCCTTTTTTGATACTTGTTTTAGTATTTAAGATTTCTTTTAACGATGTCCTATGCCTTGCAAACTCAGATATCCACAATGTCAATTGATAGAAGTTAATGCACACTCCTTGTTTAGTAAGTGGTTTTCTGAAAGCGGCAAGTTAGTAAGTACACATAATAGTTTTGACATATATCAACCGTTTAACTCAGGCTTTATATGTTTGTGCCAATACATTTTGTGTTTGCCAATTGCCACTAGTAGCTATTCATGCTCAAATATTATGTTCTTTAGTCAGCAAAAACTTCTTAGCAGTAACTCTTCTATATATATTTTCTTATTTATTTATGGTTTGAAAGTTGTAAGAAACAAAACTCTGATTATAAATGATTAAATCAGCTAATGAGTACTTTGTAAAATAATTACTAAAGCCCTGATTGCAAATGCAACAGAAGGATGAAACACAGATAGTCTATTACCACTACCAAAGATATCCCAACTTGAATTACTTTTCACTTCTACTAGTGGGGGTCATCTTCATTCATCCACCAACCCCAAGGGCCCCCACTCCCCGACCCATCATGGCAAATGGGAGGTGGGGGTCATCTTCATGTTTTAAATGTCAGGGGGCCTTAGGCTTGCTATTTACCGACTTGGCGTTCTTCATCTGAATCTCTTCTAGCATTTTGAGTCATGTAAGTTTGAAAGAGTTCCAGAAGCATGAATTAGTTGATAAAAAATACTCATAAACTGTTATTTGGATTTGGACTTTAATGTTTGGATTGGTTCTTAAAAGTCTTTTGTCGCTGTCATTCTGAATCTCTTCTGTCATTCTGGATTGTTATTTAGTATCATACAGGTACATTGTGCATTACTCTGGATTTTTACCAATACTCTATTAGTAAATTCGAGAATAGCAATGCATAGATCTAAATTCTAAACCATGACCACAGACCATACCTCATATTCATACGCTTTGCCATGACATGTAGATAAAGTGTAACATATACTAGTATATTGTAAATAAATAAATATTCTCGCCTGACTCAGATTTAATATTACGTAATAATTAACTTGAGGAGCCGGAATCAATAGTGTTATCACGGCGTCGCCTAGGCGTCCCGGCGATGAAGGAGAACCGCCATGCTCAGTTGACTCGCTCGAAGCATCCTAGGCGTTCTGCGGTGACGACTAGCCGTTGTCAGTCGAAATATGCGACGTTTAGTCCTTTATTCCGTCGCAGGTCGCCCCACCGGTCACCGACGCAGGTCGCTCCACCTGTCTCTAACACAGGCCCTTGTTCTGCCATTATCTACTCTCGTGAAGCCCGACCTCATTTCTTTTTCTTTGTCGCTCTGTTCTTTTCATTGCGTCCCTATGCTCATTGCACTCCTCTGTTTTTATCAGTACTCCATGTGTTAAACAGTTATACCCGGCTGGTCTTTACTCACTTTTTTTTTCTTTTCTTTTTTTGAAAACCACTGGTTCAACATATTACTACTTACGGTGTTATATATTACCTTCGTCCCAAATTGATTTGAGTTAACTTTTTTTGATCAAACATTTTCATTTTATTAACTTAATTAGGATATCATTTTTTTATTATATTCTAGTTTGAATTTTCCGCCATGAGGTCATTTTTTTGGTATCATGCCTGTCCCAAGCCAGGATAAAGGAGGAGGGTGTTGTTGTAGACGCGTGACAGCCAACAGTATTACTTAGTATTACTTAGTACTCCTGATGATCCCCAGCTAAAGAACAAAAATAACTTCTTAATGGCATGCAAAACCTTGAAAAAGAGGTTAATTGTTCAATTATTTTTCTGACTATGCACCACATATGTCATTTGTAATTTGGGATTTGTCCAATATATTAGCTATGCTGCCAGCATAAATCCTTTGAAGTTCAGTAACATGAACCTCCAGCTTATTTTTATTAAGTAATACTCCGTAATATTCTTCATACCATTTATTTTATGCAAAATTCTGTAAATCTTTTTCATATTAGCTCATTCTGTTAAAAAATTATTGTTGCAGGTTGCTAAAATGTTTTCTAAGATTCAAGAAATGGTAGAGGATGAAAGCAATCTTGTATTTGTTTTGATTGGTAAGAATTGTTGATTGTTGTCTTCATGCTTCTTGCACATTTCTTATAAATGTGTTTAATTCTAAGGTTCACTACTTTTCAGATGAAGTCGAAAGCCTTGCTGCTGCTAGAAAAGCTGCTTTTTCTGGTTCTGAACCTTCGGATTCTATACGGGTATGATCATCTTGTAGCTCAGAGAGGCCTTTAGTGTTTAAAAAACAATAAGGTGCAGTTTGGTAAGACGTAATGAAATGTAATGCAACTTCTAATCAAATGTATACATATTATTGTGTACTACATTACAGCTTATCTAACATTACCTATGTGTTTTTCAATCATGTTGCATGAATTGAGTCATTGGCATATAACTAAATTTTCAGGTGGTGAATGCGCTCTTAACTCAGCTTGACAAGTTAAAATCATCACCAAATGTCATTATACTGACGACATCCAATATCACTGCAGCTATTGGTAGACCTCAAATAACATTTGGCGAAGTTGCTGGCAACATTTTTTATTCTATGATGTTTAAATCAAGGATTAATGATAAAAATAAGAACTCATATGATAAGTAAGAACCACACCCCACACAATTATTATATATATTGATCACTAAAAGGAAGGTTTATTGTGATGCTGGTAAACGAAAACAATAACAGAAAGAAACGCACGATGAAAATTCGGATTGAGACCAATTTGAGAGGGTCTCTCTCTCCTAAGCCAGAGTTCTACCAAAACTCATGACTACCCTTTTCCCTCCCTTCCGTTACTCTTTATTCTCTTCCGTTATACGTGCGCCTCTTCAGTAGCTAGTCTGCGTCCACTCTCTTTTTCTGTAAGTAAAAAAATCATCATTTACCCCAGTGCCGCAAAGGCTCCCACCTACAGTGGGGTAAGGGGGGATCGGATGTACGCAGTCTTACCCTTGTACTAAAGCACAGAGAGACTGTTTCCGGATGACCCATAATGAAAATTGCGTCCAAAATTGCAAGGACTAACTTTTGCTTCATAACAAAGAAGAGCAGACAGTTTGGTGAGCCATTTTGCTTTATTCCATCATATTCTCAAGCCAAAAAATAATGAATCTTTGGCACCATTGCAAATGATGTAAGTACATTCCTTCTTTTCCCCTGCAGGTATAAACTATAGAAAAATCTCGGTTGGGATTAAATTGGCAGATAGCTGAGCTCGTATCATCACCCCTCCCTTCAAAATTCACCTTGCCCTCAAGGTGAAAGTCTGGAAACATGGACTGAAATGGCATTAATTCCTCCCAGGAGTTTTCAAAATGAGGCAGATTCTTCCAGTGCACTAAGATTTCCCATCTTCTAGTAGGTGTCATCCTGGTATCCATTACTTTTTCAGGCTGAGTTTGCAACTCCCATTCCTCAGACAAACAATTGGGTAGAGGCTGGCTAGGGATGTTAGGAGCCACAGTTTTCTTTAATAGTGAAACATGAAAAACTGGATGCACAGCACAGCCTTCTGGCAGTTTTAGCCTATAAGCCACAAGAATTATCTTCTCTATGACTTCAAATGGCCCACAAAACCTGGGGCTTAGCTTCTGGTTCATTCTCTTTTCCAAACTCTTCATCTTATAAGGTTGAATTTTCAGAAAAACCTTGTCTCCCACTTCAAGTTGGACTTTTCTCCTGTGTTTATCTGCTTGTTGCTTCATCCTATTTTGTGCCATGGCCAAGTTCTGTTGGAATTCTCGGAGCATCTTATTCATCTCCGCTGTGAGTTTGGTTACTTCCTCCCCAGTTGTGAGGGTAGAATCCCCATAAGTAAAACCGGTGGATCTTGGCCATACAAAGCCTTGAAAGGGGAAGTTTATAATGAAGCATGGTAGTTGGTATTGTACCAATGCTCCGCTCAACGCAGCCATTTTGGCCAGTGCTTTGGTTTCTTCCCAGTGAGGCATCTTAAATAGATTTTCAAAGATTTATATTCCACCTCGGTCTGCCCATCAGTCTGGGGATGATAGGCACTACTGTACTTGTGCTTGGTACCTGCTAATCTGAAGAGTTCTGACCAAAATGAGCTTAAAAATACACTGTTACTGTCAGAAACTGGTTTTGGGAAACCCATGCAGCTTCACCACTTCTTGAGTGAATGTTTCTGCTACCCCTTTAGCAGCATATGGATGGGCTATATCAATAAAATGAGCAGACTTTGTTAGCCTATCAACCACTACCAGTATAGTGTCCTTGCTCATGGCCCTTGGCAATCCTATAAAATCCAGGCTAATGTCGGCCCAAATGTGAGTGGGAATGGGCAATGGATGCAATAACCCTTAAAGCCCGATACTTATTTCTTTGACATACCTCACAACTGCTCACATATTTCTGGATGTTAAACCTCATCCCTTTCCAGTATATCACACTAGCTTTTTTCTTTAAAGTCCTGACATACCCCGAATGTCCTCCGCCAGCAGAATCATGATATTCGGTTAATACCTTAGTGATTATGGGAGATCCCATAGGCAACATAAGTCTGTCTTTGTAGTAAATCAACCCCTTTTGTACTTTTAATCCCTGGATGAGACTCTGGCTAGGCTAACATACCGATAGGGTGCTGACATACCAGAGACGCAAGACCAGAGGAACAAGTGTTGACTGAGTCTTCAATTATATAATATTTATTACTTATTGGTTTAATTATGTCACTTACAGAAATAAGTGGGTTTTGGTGTCAATCAGTCCACTATGACAGTTATTAGATCATGGATGGAGTCAGTTATGTGTCAGTTATTTTGAGTTAGTTATGGGTCAGTTAGTTATGGGCCAGTTGTATTTCCTTCTCTATAAATAGCCTAGCCTTATTCAAGCTGGGTGTGCAAAAATATTAATTTCAGACTTGGAGATTCTTCCTTGGCTTCAACTGTCGCTCATTTGTGAGATATTGTGAGAGAGAAAGTAGGAGAGTTTGGTCATTTAGTTCATTCCCTTTAATTTTGAACTTACAATTTGGTATCAAAGCCCCCACGTTCTGATCAATCATGGTGACTACATGTTCTTCCGCCAGAGACAACCTTGGAGACACGACCAATTGGCGGACATAGCGGCTAAGCTAAGCTAGACTTGCTAGATGAATTGCGAGAGAAAAATTCGGCACTAGAGGTTCAGTCGCAGGAACACAAAGGAAAGAAAAAGAGGAACTGGGCTGATGATGTGGATGAAGAGGAGGAAATTCCTAGACCTCGACCTCCATTTGCAAAGCTTGATTTTCCCAAATTCAGCGGCGGCGACCCAAGAGGGTGGGTGCTTAAGGCTGAAAAGTTCTTCAAATACTATGCGATTTCGGAGGATGACTGAGTGGAAGTGGCTGCGATGCATCTAGAAGGTGATGCTTTGGACTTGTTCTCCTGGGTAAACAGTTAAACACTGAATGCACGATGCTCTACTGGGATGAACTGGTGCGCACATTCAATGAACATTTTGGGCCGCCGGAGTACTTGAATGCTGACGAACATCTGTGCAACATTCGTCAGACCGGTAGTGTACAGGAATATCGGCAAGACTGGCCGTGTCGAGTAGCACAGGTCACCAACTGGCCGGAGCATTGCCTCTCTGGGGTTTTCTTAAATGGGCTCCGAGAAGACATCGGATCAGAGATGTGGATACACAAGCTCAGGTCCGTGTACAGAGCTGCCAGTTTAGCCCTGGAGTTTGAGAAAAAATTGGCCCAAGGGAAGGGAACCAGGCCCAATTCATATTCCTCTCAAAATAGTCCTGTTCCGTCGTACTCACACTAGGGCTGCATCTGCACGTGATAAGGAGGCGATATCAGGAAATTCGAGCTCAGCCTCCTATTCAGCACCTGCCAAAGCAGCTATGTCGCTTACGTCCACTGCACGTTCATGGGATGCGACAAAACAACAACGTCGCAAAAAGGGTTGTGTTTCCGTTGTGGGGACCCATTCCGACCAGACCATCGCCGTTCTACTACGTTCTCGCTAAGTTGTAGAAGACGAGAATTCAATGCCAAACTCTTTGGAATTAGCCGAAGACACAGAACAAGAACCATCGGGCCCTCAACAAAATCACAGTACTCGAAACTGCTTCGGGCGGTTGTGGAGGATTCCTTTAAACTTTGAAAAGGCTCTCAGGTACTGTTTTTGGCAACACATGAAATCTGACGTTAAATCTTTCATTCAACAATGCTTTGTTTGTCAAAAAAAAACAAATATGAAGCATTATCACCTGCTGGTTTGCTACAACCCATAATTTCCAGAATTCCGCCTTGAGGACAAGTCGACTTTCAAAGGAGGGAGTAATGATAGGGTGCTGACATACCAGAGACGCAAGCAAAAAGGAACAAGTGTTGCCTGAGTCTTCAATTATTTAATATTTATTGCTTATTTGTTTAATTACGTCAGTTACAGAAATAAGTGGGTTTAGGTGTCATGCATCAATCCACTAGGGTAGTTATTAGATCATGGATGGAGTCGGTTATTTTTAGTTAGTTATGGGTCAGTTGTATTTTCTTCTCTATAAATAGCCTAGCCTTATTCAAGCTGGGTGTGCAGAATCAATATTAATTTCAGACTTGGAGATTCTCCCTTGGTTTCTACTATCGCTCATTCACTCATTTGTGAGATACTTACTGCGAGAGAAAGTAGGAGAGTTTAGCCATTTAATTCTTTCCTTTAATTCTGAAAATACCACATACCTTGAATGAGCTGGTTGGACCTTTTATATTGCAGTAACTCTTCTTCTAGTCCCTCCCATCCCTGGCAGACAATGCTCGGTAACTTCTCTTTCTAGATAATGCATCAGCGGCCTTGTTTTCTAACCCTGGCTTGTATGTGATAATGAAATTATAGCCCATTAGTTTAGCCACCCATTTTTTTGTTCTTTCCCCATAAAAAAGTCTTTGCACTGATACCAATTATAAGTACGAACCACACCCCACACAATGATTGTATATATTGATCATTGAAAGGAAGGTTTACTGTGATGCTGGTAAACGAAAACAATAACAGAAAGAAACGCAGGAAGAAAATTCAGATTGAAACCAATTCGAGGGGGTCTCTCTCCTAAACTACAGTTCTACAAAAATTCCCGACTGCCCTTCTCCCTTCCTTCCGTTACCCTTTATTCTCTTCCTTCCATACATGCGCCTCTTCAGTAGCTAGTCTGCGTCCACTCTCTTTTTCTGCAAGTACATTCCCTCCTTTGCCCATGCGGGTATAAACTTTAGAGAAGTCCCGGTTGGGATTAATTTGGCAGATAGCTGAGCTCGTATCATCATATTGGGGGCACTAGATTTCATGTAGTAGAAATAATACTTCACATTTTTTCACCTGCTTCTGTTACATGCATCTTACATATATACTACAAATGGTGGATGTGAATGCTAGAGAGGGAATTATAAAGGGCCATGCACATCATGTAACCCATACGCATGCTATGTACTCGGGTAACATTACACATTTCAATAATAGAAATGATAGAGGTCCCAATATTCTCAATATATGATTCATTCATTCATTCTTCATCATTACCCCAGTGCCGCAAATGCTCCCACCAACGGTGGGGTAAGAGGGGTTAGATGTACACAGTCTTACCCCTGTACTGAAGCACGGAGAGACTGTTTCCGAATTACCCATAGTGAAAATTGCGTCGAAAATTACAAGACTGATTGTTGCTTCATAAAAAAGAAGCACAGACAGTTTAGTGAGCCATTTTGCTTTATTCCATCATATTCCCAAGTAAAAAAATAGTGAGTTTTTGGCTCCATCATAATATATGATTACTTTTTATTAATTTGTTATCGTAAACTATTACACCCTCTGCCCCCCAAAATAAGAGCTTATTAGATTTTTTTTTTTGTTAAAAAACAGCCGTGTTACAAAAAAGGGGAAAATAATAAAAATACCCCAAACTAAACTTTGAAGGGGTGTGAGGTAAACAACCCCAACTTGCATATGTAATTTAAATACCCCAAACTTTATATAAAAAGTTATTGTTGCACCATGGTCATGCATTATTTCTTTCAAAAATGTAAATTGATGGAGTTAATTGCATAATTTAACATAGCAAATTAAAAGTGTTGTGATTATATAGATCGGGTTCACATTATTTATTTTGTAATGGAAGTTTAGAATGTTATTGTGTGTTCATGAATTCTAAAATATTTTTAATTATGCAATTAACACCATAAATTTACATTTTTGAAAGAAATAGTACTTGACTATGGTTCTAGAATAAATTTTTATATAAATTTTGGGGTATTTAAATTACATATAAAAGTTTGAGGTGTTTACCTCACACTCCTTTAAAGTTTGGGGTATTTCAAGTATTTTTCCCTATAAAAACAACTTTGATTACAAAGTAAAATTTGTGTAAAGCCAAGTAACAAGTGGGTGTATTTACTTACTGCAAACAAAATCCTCGGAAATAAGTTTTATGAGTATGAATGACCATTTATAATATGTAAAAGCTTGTACCTTGATTGTGTTGACAAATGAAAGTTGCACTCTATCAAGATGAGTTTTTTAGGGACTGAGGGAGTTTATAGTTTGCAAATGATGTCTCTTATCCACTTACAGCAACCATGGAATTATATATGGTGTCTCATTTTATTCAACGGGTGATGCTATACAAAGTGTAACATCTATCATTGTTTTGCTATTGTGATTTTCATGTTTGGGACACATTTTAGTCAAATGTCAATTCTTGAGAAAACTCTTCGTTATGTGTTGTTGTAGTGAATCTCCACTATATATACACACGTACACACATGTGTACATATATATTCCGAACGACATGAAACAATGCACATTTTGGTTAACGGCGGTGCACATTTAGAGTTAAGATAATATCATCATCATCATTTTCATTTACCCCAATGCCACAAAGGCTCCCACCTACGGTGGGGTAAGGGGGGGTCAGATGTACGCAGTCTTACCCCTGTACTAAAGCACATAGAGACTGTTTAGTGAGCCATTTTGCTTTATTCCATCATAGTTCAAATGACAGAAAAGTTTAATTCATCTACAAAAATTCCACTTTTTCTGATTCATGATAGTGACCATTTATTTTTCACACAATGCACAATTCTTAAATCTAATGCACCAGATTTATTCTCATTTTTCTCCTTAGATCGCACTCTCATTTGATTCAAACTGTGTGTATTTCATTTCAATCTCAGATATAGCTTTTGTGGATCGAGCTGATATTAAAGCATATGTGGGACCCCCAACGCTTCAAGCGCGCTATGAGATACTAAGGTCTTGCTTGCAAGAACTCTTAAGAGCTGGAATATTGTCAAATTCATCCATGCTGGTAATTTTTTGTTGACCTGCATTCTGCAATTTCAATGCCACCTCCATTGCACTTTGGCTTGTCCTTTTTATCTGTCTCTATTGATCAAATCATACAGCTTAAGAAAATTCATTGGAATGATAATTTAACAGACTGTATTTGTATTTACCTAAATTGCCTTTTGTAATATGGAGTAATTACTTGCTAGTTACTACTTACTACCTTATATATATGTTTAGTACAAGAAGCATAAAATCTGGAAAAAATCTTCAGTGTGCATCAGTTTCACAAAAGGATGGATTAAAAGGAACATGCAATGTTGGTCGATGAAGACATGTAAATAGAAATGGAGTATTTCTTAATGTCAAATAGTTGTAGTGGTCTGGTGGAATATACTCTTGATATACCAACGCTGTAAGTCGTGTGTAGGGCGTCGAGAGGCTCGTTTTCCCGAACTTTTCTAGTTTGAGAGACCACATTGGCAAATCAGTGACACCAGAGTATCAACCACAATCCCACCTTTCCAAACTGCTGCTTGATGCTGCTGAAGCATGTGAGGTATATAAATTTTGGGCAGGCTTAACACCCTTTTTGGGCATTGGGTTTGACATTTTCTTTTCACTATGACCATGTACTCTTTAACTGTGCATTTGACCCATTTTACCGAGTTCTATTTTGTTCACCATAACCCTCCATGTGTTTAATATTTTGACCATTTATTTTATTATTCAGGAGTGTCGATTTGTACGGAGTACTTTTTAATATAAAATAAATGAAGGTCCTATTTACCCTCTTCTCCCCTGAACTAAATGAAATTCCTTTTTACCTCTGGCTCAGCACCTTATTCGTCCATTGGATTTGACACTTTTTTCAACATGAACAGCCTACTTTTTGATAGTGCAACTGAGTTTCCTTTAGTAGCCAGTTCCGTTTTTTTTGCTTAGTCTACATCTCACCAGAATAATGTGCACAAGCTGAATGAATAGCGGTTGACTGGCTTATTTGGCAGAAATAGATGCACATATGCTTTTCTTTCCAGAAAATTCAGCTAAATGGGCTTTTAGCCATCCTACATTTTCTTTTCGAAAATGCAAATATGTTTTGGAGTTGAAAGGGGTGATTCATGAGTGTATAAAACAATAAAAATAGAAAGTAACAGTGAGGATGGAGGGGGGTCTCACAGCACAATCTATTTTCACTCATATTGTTCTATATACTAGCCACTAGGTAATTGAAGTCCGCCGTATAATGATTCGTTTGGAATGTAAATTGAATGAAAATAGATTGAGAAGCAAGACGGTCATATTGAAAAAGACAGGTGCCAAATCCAATGGACAGCATTTTTTTTCTGCCCATTTCAGGCCTCATAATATTTCCAGCGCTAACCAAGCAATTAGGGAACATGTGATGAAGAAACTAACTAGTTACTTCTTTCAGGGTTTGAGCGGAAGATCACTAAGAAAGCTTCCATTCTTGGCACATGCAGCCCAAAAGAATCCGCACATTTGTGAACCTGAAAAGTTTATGCATGCACTAATAGAAACAGCCAAACACCAGCGATTAGAGTTATCTGATTGAGTTGTACTTGTGCTGATCACAGGTTTTATTTGCTCTGTGAAATCGTCTGTAGCTTTAAACTTTGAAAAAAAAATCTTTGTGGTAGTTGTCACGGGCAAAGACTAATTGTAGCAAAAGATGCACAGAAGTGAGGGAAGTAGGCAGCAAATACACTTGTATCAGTTATATGGAGATGTATGAACTTCTAAATATATGTAGTTACAAATTTAAAATGGAAGTTTAATCTTCTTTGACACTTGAAAACAATTCCCCAGTAAATATATATTTAAAACTCTTAAGACATTGATCTGAAATTCTGAATCAACTTGCTTGTACTCAGAAAGTAATGCCACCAAGCATATTATGAGGCCGTTTGGTAGCCAGAAAATTGGCTGATTTGGCTGATTCTGCTGAAATATATGAAGTTCTGGTTGAAGTGGCTGCATTGCCTGATTCTGCTGATTTAAGAAAAAATTATTTTTAAAATATATTTTATTAATAAAATAAAGAAAAAATATATGTAAAAATAGCTAAAATGATCATCTACAGTAACTTCAGCCAATACGGCTAGAAAAGTAACTCCAACCTTACTTTTTCTGCTTATAACACAATTCAGCGCGCGAAAGCAAAAGTTACGTGTTTGGTGAAAAAGTTGGCTGATAAGTCTGATAAGCCGAAAACGAGTGTTGCCAAACGGCCTCTATATATAAGGGCTTTAACGGCGTGTTTGGATTAGGTGTTGAGAGGTGTTAGTAATGGAAGTGTTCAGTTTAACACTTGTTTGTGAGAAAGATTAAAAAAAGTTGGTGGTGTTAATAAGTGTTTGAGGGTGTTAATCAAAACCTTCCTAACACCTATATCTATCACTTTTTTAACACCCAATTTGGGGTGTAATGAAGTGTTGGACAACCTTTGCCCCTATTATTCCCAACGTTCTCTGTATCCAGTTCTTCTGCTGCAGCCAACAGTTCTTCGTCCATCCGCAGCCAAGTCAATTCTTCTTCTTCCTCAGCCAAAGACCGGTCTTTTTCATCTGTAGCCAAACACCTTTCTTCTTCTTCACCTCCTGCTGCAGGCCGTGAGTGACTAGTGTTAGTATGATAGTATTATATTATACGTAGTGTGCATATATATATATATATATATACACACACACACATATATACAGGGGTGAGATCACATACAAACTAGTCCTTCCATGCTAACCTACAAACTGTCACAAATAGTGCATTTTTACATTATTTGAATTGCATATTGAAGTTCAAAGTGTTGCATATTATTTGTATTGCATATTGAAGTTCACAGCGTGCATCTTTACATTATTTGTATTGCATATTGAAGTTCAAAGTGTTGCATATTATTGAGTTTGTAGGTTAGTATTTTAAACATGGTTTGTATTTGATCTCTTACCTATATATATATATATATATATATATATATATATATATATATATATATATATATATATATAGGGTTGAGATCGGATACAAAGTGTGCTTCCGGTACAAAATGCAAATTCATCTCATCCATTCAAAATTACAAAATCAAGGGTAGGAATTGTTTGACCCACTAAATACTCCACTGTTAGTGGGAGTTTTCCTACTTTATCTCAAATCATTCGTAACTCATGTGCTTAGTGGATAAGTTTTCCAACTTTCTCTCAAATCCACCGTAACCTCATTAATATGGATGACCATGATTAATTTGCATTTTGTAAATTAGGATAAGTTTGTATATGATCCTAAGTCTATATATATATATATATATATATATATATATATATATATATATATATATATATATATATATATATATATATATAGGGTGTGGTTCCAGTGAGAACGATGCTTAACGTGAGAACGTGAGAACAAATCCTAGCTGTTAATCAAAAGAATCAGACGGTTGATTATTTGGAGGTGCACAATTAATTCGTGCATTGCAACACACACTAACATGTTTAGAAAACTAACATCACGGTATGTGTTTTTTCACAAAGGGTGAAATTGTCAATCTTTTGACATTCCATTAATGTAGAATCGGTTAGAGGCTATCATCCACCTAAGAATTAGGAAATGATAAAAGGTCAAATCATATAAAAAATTTAATTTAAAAATTGATTTAACTTGTTAAATTATAATTTGATTTAAACAAAAATTATATCAAATTAAATATTTTTTTTATGAGCTTTCATATGACACCAATATGTCATATATAATTTTGTTTTAAAAAAATAAGTATAATATGTGCTCCGTATAAAATAAATCATAACAAACATTATCTTCAGCTATCACATGTACAAGAATATGTATCTAACACACAACGAATAATATCTAATGCACATGAAACAATGTCTAATGCACAATATGTATAACAAAAATTAAAACAAGTGTCATAAACATAAAATCCAATATTCAATGCTCAAAGAACAGTATTTGACACACAAAATTAAAACCTAATTAATATCTCACACATAAGGATTTCACACATCTTAAACTAATATATAACACACTAGAATCAATACCTAATGCACAATTCGAATATATGTTAGAAATGAAAATAGAGAGTCACAACAAATACATCATGCATAATAATTGGTATCTAGCACACAACGTCAAATACTGCATTTGAGTGGCACAATAGTGCAGTTGTGAATTGTACGGTTGCAAATGTTAAGACATAAAGTATGTTGATCCAATATCTAGCACATAACCCGGTCCCCAAATATGTAATGCACATGAACCGGTATCTAACTCACAATTGATATATATGACATAAAATGAAAATATGTGCTCATAAATATACAATTATATATGGTGAACAATGAAAATAAACAAGAGCAATTGTGCATTGAAATTATAAAATAGTGAGAATAGAGGTTCTGAATAAGGTTGTTCTTTTAGATGAGTGAGCATTAACATCAAAAGTCAAATCACATGGCAAATCAAATGCTTAATTTAATTATATATGGAACTTGAGTTTTGAAATAGTGGAACGGTTGAAATGCTTTATTTAATAATATGGAATGGAACTCAATTTTTGCAAGTGGAACGGACGAAAATTACGGCTAAGATCATGGGTTACAAAAACGGCCATTAGCAAAATACTTAAATGTCCTTTCGTTAACTTCATTTGATCGCAGATGGCGTATATTAATAGATGGTCAGGATGTGTTCTCACGTACTCACGTTAAGACTCGTTCTCATTTGAACCAAAATCTATATAATATATATATATATATATATATATATATATATATATATATATATATATATATATATATATATATATATATATATATATATATATATATATATATATATATTCTCATATATTAATTTATTAATTCTCATATGAAATTAATTCTCATATATATATATATATATATATATATATATATATATATATATATATATATATATATATATATATATATATATATATATACATATATATATGAGAATTAATTTCAGCTGTCCAAAGTGTCGATCTCATGCACTTTCGAATAGACCTTATTTGATGCACTTTTCGAAAAGTGCATCAAATAAGATCTATTTGAAAGTGCATCAGATAGAGGTTATTGTGCATCAGACCGACACTTTGGACGGCTGAGATTAATTCTCATTTTAATGTCTTCTCATTTGAACTCATCCATATATATATATATATATATATATAGGGTAAGGTTCAAGTGAGAAGAACCCTTTGGGTGAGAAATGAGAATGAATCTCAGCCATTGGATTCGACTAAGTTGCAGTAAAAGACACTTCATGATGCACTGAAATATGCAATCTAGCATGGTGGCATTTCTGTAAATACTTCTGAAAAATCCGTATTACACATGTCTAGTGCAACATGAAGTTATTTCGGTGCAACGCCGTCAAATATTAGTGCAACATGAAACAATTTTAGTGCAACATGTGCAAAATTTAAATATTACTGCAACATAAAGCCAATTTTAGTGCAACTTCGTAAATCCAATGGCTGAGATTCATTCTCATTTCTCACATTATATGCATTTCTCACCTGAACCAAAATATATATATATATATAGTGAATTAATTCCACTTTTGGTACTACGAGTTTTGTATCAATTTCACCTTTAGTGCACGTCTTTCACTTTATCTACTTTTGGTACTTGACTAATGTTTTTTAACCGTTTGTGGTCCTTTTCCGGCGATTTTAACCATCGGAAACAATGCCGGAAGGACCATATATGGGCGAAAACACAATAATCATGTACCAAAAGTGGACAAAGTGAAAGATGTGGACTAAATGTGGAATTGACCTAAAACTCGTAGAATTAAAAGTGGAATATATATATAGTTGGATAGATGCTCTGGGAGTATGTAGCAGGTCAAATATTGTTTATTTGGGTTTCATTTTCTTAAACTTGTTAGCTTACTACATGGGTGGATGCTCTGGGATTTTCATAACAGATTGTTGCATTCTTGTTACGTTGTACTTCATTTTTTGCTTTAATTATGCCGATATTTTTAAAAACTAGTTGATGTTGCTTAAATTCAAAAGACGTACGAAGTATTTTTATTGATTCTTCTCTAATATAATTTACTTGAATGCGACTGAGTATTATATTTGCTGATTATACCAAGTATATGATGGTTGTGATTAAAGTTAACATTTAGTATGAGGATATTCTTGTCATTTTTATGAGACGAATAAATGAACAAAAGGCAAAATTATTTCACACTTTTCATTTTTCATTTTCTTCTCATATTTTAGATTTTCAAATTCAATCTGATGATTATGGAATTTCCTATGAAAATGGGAATATGGGAATGCATTTATTTTTCAACATCTGGAAATGTCATTTTCTATATGAAAAGGTCTTTGTTAAGTCATTATTCATATCAAGTGGCATTTTTGCTTGAGGTCTGTAGGGTCTTGTCGGAGAGCGATAGCAGACAGATTCATCAGATGGTGGCTAGTGTGTGCACTTGTCGAATAACGGTCGATTGACAAGTTTTGGGCACCGGGGATTGAGAAGTCCTAGGCAATGACTAGTCATGGACCCGGGCCGGTTCGGCTTTTGGGTGACCCGAGCCCGCACCGTGAACCCCCGGGCCGGGCCTACCCGGACCGGTCACTGGCCGGGCCACCGGTCCCGGGCCGGTTCCGGGTCAGGCCACCCGGCCCAAGTCCAAGACTAGCAATGACACTTGTTGGGTGGGAAGAGTTTTAATTTTTTTCATTAGGGGTAATTTTGTCATGTTAGTGTATTTTTAATCCTATAAAACATATAAGTC